TATGACACTGACATTTGCTAATGATAACATGCTGGGAATTACCTGTGTGCTGCCATGCTGGAGAGCAGTCCATTAGTGTTTGAATTGATGCACTTTGGGACTTTTAATTCTTCACAAATTCTATCTCCATGCTTAATTAGGGAAAAGACATGGTAGAAAAGTTGCATAGTCCCTTCTTCATACATTTTATTGTCAATGGGAGTGGCAGTTAGTAATTCTTCAAGTTATATTACAACATTCACTTAAAATAATGGAGCTCCATGCTGAGTTTGCTTCAATTAAGTCATATTTTATTTGCTAATGATTTTCCAAGTTGACAATGACCTTGAAGTTGGTATTGTCAACACTTCTTGACATAAAGAGAGTATAATTTAGAGTTGAGAGTGCATCAATTTATTTGTCATTTTCTGTCCTACAATTTTAAGAGGCTTTTAAATTAAATTTCAGATTGAACATTTACCTGAGTAACCTCTGCAGTCAGAGGTTAGTGAATAAAAAGTAGTCAATTCACATGGTTTAGGTGAAAAATAATTTCAGTGTCTGTACAGGAAAAGGATTTTGCTAATGTCTTGAATGGTGTGTGTATATATATTTCTGCATAATCTTTCCCTTTTACTGTTTATCTTAAGAATTGTAAAACAGTTGAACCACAAAATCACAACAGTGTAAATTAACCTGAAGAAAGCTTCCTAGACAATTCTGCTTGAGGTCTTGAAATGCTGTGTTAAAAGAATTAATATAAAACTTTTACCTGTATTTTTTAGGCTATAAAAATGAGACGTAAGAGATGTTTTATCAAAATACTGTCTTAAAATACAGATTTTTTTTAAAAAAAATGTATGCTATAGTAAATAAACATAGTAGATATACCCCTGCCTGAAATATAATTTATGTAATATATTTAACATGGTTATATATTTTTTTCTTTTTATGATAGGCACACAGTGAGAGAGAGAGAGGCAGAGACACAGGCAGAGGGAGAAGCAGGCTCTGTGCACCGGGAGCCTGATGTGGGATTCGATCCCGGGTCTCCAGGATCACACCCTGGGCCAAAGGCAGGCGCTAAACCGCTGCGCCACCCAGGGATCCCTTAACATGGTTATATTATAATAGAACAGAGTTCTACATTTGTGTGTTGTACTTATTATGCCTAAAATCTGTGCAATTATGAAATTCCACTTAATTTCTAAATAAAAATAAGATACAACAGAAATGAAGAAATTTTGCTCTTTCCACAAAACTGTATATGTACTTTGAAATTCATGGCTATGAATTTATTCATATGACTGTGGCTATATTAGGTAATTCCATTTGAAAGATGGTCTAGAACACTTATTTTAGCAAAGTGTTGTGTGGCTTGGCATTCTTTCTTTTCCAAAAGCTTTGTAAGGTATAGCAGTCTTTGGAGTTGCCACTGACCCAAAGGAACACAGGGTGCTTTTCAGCTACTCTAGTGGATGCTATGGTTTCTTCCAGTATTTGTTTGCTACCGTCTGCAGCTCTGCTGGACAGTCAGGCAGTCCAGTTTTTCTTTACTGTTCTGGTAGGTGTTATGACATTTGCCCTTGCACCCCAGATATAAAGCTTTTGGGTGATCTAACTACTTTATTTCCTTTTGTGTTATACTCAGGAGTGCCAAAGGAGTGTATATTCTATGTGTTATAGAGATTGATGGGATAGCTCTTTCAATTTTTATTCATAGATCTGTTCCTTCTACTACTAAGAAAGATCTGGGCTTGAAAATCCTGTATCAATTAGATAACCTACTTATGATAATATCACCTTACTTTGATTTGTGCTTTATAAAGTTATAGCTTTGTAGTGTGTTAAAGCTGAATATCTGTAGTGAAGATAGGAAAATATCTGTTTGCTCTTTGTGTTGTAATTCATTAAAAGGGATCTACATACTAATAATCTAAGTACATTGAGACCACTTATAGTGCTGGAAATAGTCCTAGTGTAAATAAGGCTTAATCTTGCTTATCTATATAACAAATTTTTCTCAGGCTTCATTGGATTGTGGGTATTAGGGAGAGTCACAATTTTGTTAATAACTGAAATATAAGTATGTTGTTTCCTGCTATTGATATAGAGGTCTTCTTGTCTTCTGCAAACTTCTTCCCAGGTGTTTCTGAGAGTCCTTAGGGGCTGTCTTGACCATGTTCCTAAACAAGTCTATTTCCACTGAGACAGCTGCTGTTCCACCAAGCACTTTAGTCTCTTACCAGATGGTGCTCTCTGCTGGGCATTTCTACCAATGTACTTGATCACAGCTAAAGTTGCTTGATGAGCTGAAGTGAGGTTGAGGGAATAATGTCTTTCTCTCTTTGTATTAAATTGTAATAGAAGGATCTAAAAGTAGCACTGAGTTTTGCCTCTGTTCAATGAAAGAGGTCTTTTTAGATTTTTATCATAGCCTCTTTGTACCCTGCAGGACACAGGCATAAATCCAGTGGGTACTCTTAGGGGGCAAATTCAGTCCACAGAAAATTTCAGTATTTAGCATTACCACTTTTTGGACAATAAGATTTTCTTTCTGTATGAGGGTCATTATGATTAGCTGCTTCCCATAGGATTAGTTTTAACATTCACCTTTTGATTGGTTTGCCCTATTAGTTCACTACACATTTAAAAGCATGACAGAATATTACTTAAACAAAGTTAATAACTCTCTGTTTCTTTACCCTTGGCTCCAATATCCTCTACCACCCCCAAGCAGGGAATAAACAATTCCTTGTTTATCAATCAATACAGGGGAAACCTATAGATAAACTGCAGTCCAGTTTCTCTATGGGATTACATCTATAAAAGTAATCAACAAAGATCCCATTTCACTTCATGGAGACATCAGTGTTCTGTCAGAGACTGTGTTGGCCCCTTAATTCTTTAGATGAGGTGGATATAGAAGGGAAAGTTTAGTTATATTGTGTTTGTATTCTGTAACATCTGAGGGCTAGTTGTTAATGGTAAATTCTAGGAAGTAAAAGACATTTCACATGGTAAGGAACTTCAGTGCTCTACTAGATCTTTTTGGATTTTGTTTGGCATCCCAAAACTTTCTGGAGTGGTGTCTCTCTAAATAGAAATTTTGTCCTCATTAGGGGCCAATGGCAGTGCTTCTAATTTATTTCCAACTGTGCATGTCAGGAATAGAGTGGATGTTAACATCAAGTAATGGCCCTGGCACAAATCTCCAAGGGTATTAGTAATTTTGAGAATTGCTCCCTACTTACCACCCGAGAGTCCATCCTTATCTCTTGTTTCTGTCTCATTGGGGTCATCAATAGGCTTCAGAGGAGGTTCTTTTCATGTGTGGTGAGTTCTTTTTCTGTTTATGGCTCTCTGCTGTGCTATATTTTCCAGAATTTCTTTGAAGTTTTGGAATGTGAATGATACCTTCTCTTAGTTTCTAGTACTGATAACATGTTTATTTTATACACTATTTTTGAAAATTTTGTAGGAGTTGGGCAGATGTGGGTATTTTTTTTAATTTATTTATGATAGTCACACACACACACACAGAGAGAGGCAGAGACATAAGCAGAGGGAGAAGCAGGCTCCATGCACCGGGAGCCCGACTTGGGATTCGATCCCGGGTCTCCGGGTTCGTGTCCTGGGCCAAAGGCAGGCGCCAAACCGCTGCACCACCCAGGGATCCCAGATGTGGGTTTGATTCACCATTTTGAACTGGAAATATACTTTGTGTTACTAATATTGCTATTTATTTCATTAATAATTATTTATAATGATAATTGAGAGAGGTTGGTTCCACTGTTCTAGAAGAGTAATACTTAAGCACAAGTGACACTGTTTTATGCAATTAAATTACAAGTTTATGTTATGGGGATTTAATTTTTTACATGTATATAAATTGAATTATTAATCCGAGTTTATTTCAAAACAATATTTTTATAAATGTGAATTAAAGAATAAGGTAAGTAGATCAGAGTTTACATTTATCAGTTAAAAATGATTTTTAAAGAAATTCTTGAATGATTGCTCAATTTAGAATCTATTAGGTCAACAAAAGAGAATTTCTATAAGAGAAGTTATAAGAGAAGTTACTGTTCTTATATTTTACTGTTTTATTAATTTCTAATGAAACCAAATCCTTTAACTTCTCTATAGTGAACTTTTCAGGGTCATGCCTAATTTTGACATTTATTATAATAGATGCAAAGTAAATACTGTTGATTTCTCATGTTGCGAATAATTTCTTTGGCAATAAAGAACTAATCTGGACCTCAAACAAGAAAATGAACTGGGGGTAGCATTTAATTTGTTTGTTATATATTTGTTGCTATTTGAAAACTTTACATGAGTATGTTATAGTTTTAATACCAGGTAATTAGAAATTACTTAATATCTGTTGGTGATAATTGAATTTGAATTTTTTTTCTGGAAATTAATTTAATTTCTATTTAATTAAGACCACTTTTTTTTAAAAATTTTTATTTATTATTTATGATAGTCACAGAGAGAGAGAGAGAGGCAGAGACACAGGCAGAGGAAGAAGCAGGCTCCATGCACTGGGAGCCCGACGTGGGACTCGATCCTGGGTCTCCAGGATCGCGCCCTGGGCCAAAGGCAGGCACCAAACCGCTGCGCCACCCAGGGATCCCAAGACCACTTTTAATAGTGGTCTATTACCTAACTCATACAATTTGCCCAACCCTCCCTTTTTTTAAACAATGAGGAGCTCCTCTTTATTGCCCTTAAGATTTTAGATTGTTGAGTGTATGTATTGCCAAGAGCAAAGCTGTTCATATTGATTGAAGATATGCTAAAACTAGAGATACTTCTCTAGGAATCCTGGCTGACTCAGGAGTGGGGTGGGCATGACAGTATTCATTTAGGTTGAGAGAAGACTTGAGTGTTTGTTAGTGGAACCCCTTTGGCTAAGGCTGTCCTTGCTTTGGATTTAGAATTGAATGAAGTTAAACTTTGTTTCGTGGCTTATTTAAACTATGTCTCATATTCACTTTTTTTTTCCTTTAAAGGATTTTTCCAATGCAACTTTGAAATACAAGGGGATACATTTTGGCAACTCTTTGGGAAGACTTGAGTTACCTATAAAGTCAGGACCTGGTCCTGGACAGTATGATATAGGCCAGTAAGTTAAAAAAAAAAATACACACACACACACACACACACACATTTAATATAGTTCTTGACTAGAAAGTATTCTAATAATTTAGACCAGGACATGCTGTTATGTAAGGACAGATCAGTATGAAAAACTCCAAGAAGTATTTTTGAGTAACCTATATGAAAACTATTGCTTTTTTTTATGAGCCAGACCCTGTGCTGCTTCACATGTATTACCTCATTTAACCTTCCCAAGTCTCTGTGTAGTTACTATTATTATCCATATTTTATTGGTGAAAAGTGCAAGGGTCAAAAAGAGTAAATAACATTCAAGATCATTTGGCTATTAAGTAGCAAAGCTAGACTTTAACCAAGGCCTGTTTGTGATTGTACAACCCATGTGTCTGAATACTAAAATATACACAGAAGATCAGAGAAAATATAAAAGAAGGTAACCCAGTATTCATTTGTGCCTGGCTCCAGTGCCCATTCTTCTGACTAAATGGTAGATGTAGAAGCCATTCTTATTGTGGGGTTCAGAGCCATAGCATCAGGTTGGAGCTTATATTTATGAAGTTTAACCAGGAAGTACATTTCCGGTAAAATAACTCTGCCTTACTTTCTCTGTCTCCTACAGTTAAGACCTTACTTAGCCATGGGTCCATGGGAGACTAAGTTGAGTAGGAAATACCATGTTGTTCTCAGAATCTATCACCTGTTTTCATTAAAATTTTTAAAGAAGATCCATTTTTATCTGCCTGATTCTTTTTCTCTAATAGAATGAATTTTCTTATAAGAAGTCCCGCAGTGATTACCTATCTAAGTAGTTTCCTAGACAGATTCAAACACATCTGTATACCAGTGGTGGTTATGGCTTAGACTCTTCTTAGACTCCCTTACTAATGTTCATTTACTGAACAAACATTGTTTGAATTCTGTGTGTTAGTACTACACATGGTAACAGAATAAAAGGGATAAAACATGGTTCTTGTTTTTGGGAATTTATCCCCTATTCTCTTTTAATTTTTTTCACTCTCCTAAACAGGGAGGTACACCCTGTATTTTTATTCTTTTAGTAGTACACTAGAACTTTAATATGCATGTTTAGCTTAATGGGGTCTAACAATATTTTTGTCATTGTCCCAAATGAAACAAAGTCTACGAGATGTTCTAATTCATTCTGTTCATCCTTTTACATGTGCTTTTGTTATTCAGTGTTCTAATTTTATCCTTTTTTTCTTTCAGTTTGGCTGGTTTACTTATCTGTCTGTCTGTCTGTCTGCCTGCCTCCTGCCCATTAATTTTATTGAGGTTTAATTAACATAAGGCAAAAGTAACCTTTTTTTAAGGTATGTAGTTCTCTGATGATTGCTTTCCTTTCATTCCACTACACTTCTGACCGAATACTGCAGGCATAACTGAGAGTCTAACCTTGTTCTGATTTTGCTAGGCAGTTTTTTCCTAACAGTCTCTTTTGTTTCTCCAACTCTGTCCCACTCTCATTCTAATTCCTGGTTTTTAAATGTTACTTTTTCTTTGAGCTTTTTTATTTCCTGTGTTTCTTCTATTTACATTTTCGCTTTTGCTTGTAAGAATGTATCTATATAAATTGCATTCCAGACTGCTTCAGTTATGTCACCATTTCCATAATTTGTCTGCTCTTTGGTTTTGCTGCCTCACTATACCTTTTATTTGGAGTTGTCTTGGTTCCATCTGGTAGTTGACATTTTGTACCTTTTTTTTTTTTTTAACCTTTTACTTTACTGATCAAGTCAGAATTATTCTGGGATATTTGACATAGTATAAAAGTGAAGATACTTGGTCATTGTAAATGGACAAATGAACTTCTAGGTCTCTTTTCAGGAAAGACACAGACCTAAATGATATGTGACCCTTCTGATCTCCCAAATATAAATTTATTATCCACAGGACTATTTGAGATTTTGAAAACAAGTTCACCTGTTGAAATTTCTGTGGAAAAAAAACAGCAAAGTCAGCACTAACCAGTGAACTGAGATGTTAAATGGGTATTTAAATCATAGCAATGTCAAAGAAAATATTTACAATTATATAACTTAGGCATTTATTTTTATGTTTTTCTTTATCTATTTTTAAAAATGCTTATGTTCAATATAGTTCATTGGAAATATATGAGGGTTTTTTGGAAATTCTGTTTAATAAATGGAAAAAATAGTATAGTCAATATAGTCTATTTAAAAATAACTTTTGTAGGGACACCTGGGTGGCACAGTAAGTTAAGTGTCCGGCTCTTGGTTTCAGAGCAGGTCGTGATCTCAGAGTTGTGAGATTGAGCCCTGCTTCAGGCTCTGTGCTTAGTGCAGAGTTTGCTTGAGATTTTCTCTCCCTCCGCCCCTCCTGCTTGTGCTCTCATTCTCTCTAAAATAAATAAATAGATCTTTAAAAAAATTCTTAGTATATAATAGCTCAGTTATGTGTACTTATGGGCCATGTATGGCATTAAATATTTCACCTATATTATCTACTTTAATCATTACAATCTTAAGAATTGTTTGTGACTATTTCCAATCAGGTGAAGAATTAGAGTTTAGAGAAGTAAGGTGATTTGTGTAAGGCCACACAGCTAGTAGGTAACAGTGTTAGGATTCATATCAGTCTGTCTGACTCTAAAACTTGGGCTGTTAATGACTTTTAGTTTCTTCTTCTTGAGGTTGTGTAAATTTCAGTGAAAATAAGTTTCTCTTTTATTTTTCAAAGAACTTTATGTCCCTTTTTTTGATTGTTTTATGATAGAAATAGTTGAAATACCAAGGGATTTGAAATTTTAAAGATGTTTTATATTAAATGGAACACATAGACTTTTTTGGGTAACTTTTTATATAAACTCCTGATATAAATCTCACATCTAATTTTTTTTGGAGTCATTATTAGTGTAGGTTTATTATAATGCTCTGAATTGGAAAATGCACAAGTAGCCAACATAAATGAATACATTTTACAAAATTTAGAATATATTGGCCTCACATACCCAGATGATTCTATTATTGCATACTTTTGAAGCAGGCAATGTTCATGTAAAATATTCTATTTGTTTATATAAACAAATATATATTTGAAGCTGAAAGCTCCTCAATTTTTCTGACTTTGCTAAAGGAAGAAGACCCCTCATTATGAAAATATTAACATCAAGAAAGATCAGCAACTAAATTATTGCTTAAATCTCCCACGATTTTATGAAGTAATAATATTGCAGGAGGAAAAAAAGGTAAGTTGAAATGTAACTATCTTATCTTCTTTCTATGATTTAAGATTGTAATTACAAGGTTAGAGTACTCTTAGATCTACTATGTCTAGTAGCTAGTTGTTACTCAGTGAATATTATTGAAGGGACTAAAAATTTCCAGCAAGTGATCACCATCTCTACTTGAATATCTCTTGTGTTAAAGAACTCACTAGCCCTAAGGTTTATTGTTTTAGTAGTGGACAACTCTGTTTCGTACGATTTCCTTCTGATCTAAATTTGCCTGCCTGCTGCCTACTTTTTCTTCTTTTTCTTGTGACTTCCTTTCAATCTCCTTTTCAGTCTTTTTCTAGTAAGAACAAATATTCCTCACTTGGCTATTCTTATTTAAATTCATGGTAATTTATTTTCCTTTAAAGTTATCTAGGGATCTTTCCTAGTTTATGAATTTCCCTCTTTTCCTTTCTCTTTCTTTTTATTTTTTTATTTTTATTTTTTTTCTCTCTCTTTTTAATATGATACTAAAACTAAGTGTAATATTCTTGGTGTAGTGTGATTTGTGCATAGTAGGATTTTCATCTTTCTTCTTCTGGATAATAAATATTTATTAATATAAAACTCCGGATACCACTAAATTTTTTTGTAGCTATGTTTCAGGCTACTCTTTTGCAACTTGTTAGGCAAATAAAACTGAAGAGCTTTTTTCCTCCTTTAGTATATTATTATATTTAAACATAAAAACTTGAAAATAGAATATTACACAGTTTTTATAAAAAAGGATATCCTTTTATAAAAAAGGATAAGATCTTATTTGCAATAACATGGATGGACTCAGGGTAGTATGCTAAGTGAATTAAATCAAAGAAAGATAAATACCATATGATTTTACTCCTATGTGAAATCTAAAAAAGACAAGCAAAAAAGCAGAATTAGACCTATAAATACATAGAATAAACTGATGGTTACCAGAGGGAGAAGTTTGGGGAGTTAGGAAAAATTGATGACGAAGAGTGGAAAATACAGGCTTACAGTTATGGAATGAATAAATCATGAGAATAAAGGGACAGCACGGGGAGTATAGTTTGTGATATTGTAATAGTGTTGTATAGTGGCAGATGGTAGCTATACTTCTGGAGAGCATAGCATAATGTATAGAGAAGTTGAATCACTATGCATATATTTGAAACTAATATAATGTCATGTATCAACTATATTCAAGTACATAAAAAACCTTGAAGATAATAGAATACAAATTTTAAAATGGGTCGTTTAGAATAAGGGTAAATGATTCTCAGCTGGAAAATCAGTAACTGTTTCAATAAGAATTTTCTTTGCATTTGATTTCCTTGGTCTTCCTCTGAATATCAATCTGCAATGCAAAATATTGTTTCTAGAAATAAAAAGACACATTAACAGAATAATATAATTGATTTTATAGAATTATAATCTCAAACAGTATGCAAAGTGTTAATTTAGAATCATGAGAGATAATGGTCTAGTTTTCTGTACTTATAATGTCTTTGTTTTGTTTACATATTAGGGTTATACTGGTTTCATAGAATGAGTTAGGAAGTATTCCCTCTGCTTCTATCCTCTGAAAGAGTTTGTAGAGAATTGGTATAATCTGTTTCTTAAATGTTTGGTAAAATTTACTGGTGAACCCACCTGGGCTTGGTGCTTTCTTTTTTTTTGGAAGGTCATTAATTACTGATTCAATTAAAAAAAAAGATATAGCCTATTTGGATCATATCTTTTTTCTTGTGTGAGTTTGGGAAGATTGAGTCTTTCAAGGAATTGGTCCAATTTATCTGGCTTATCAAATGTATAGGCATATAGTTCATAGTATTCCTTTATTATTCTTTTAATGTTTATGGGATCTGTAGTGATGTCTTCTCCTTCATTTCTGATACAAGTAATTATATCCTTTTTTTTTTCTTAGTTTACCTGGCTAGAGACTTATAGATTTGATTGAGCTTTTCAAAGTCCTGTCTTTTGGTTTCATTGATTTTTCTCTATTCATTTCTTATTTTCAATTTAATTGAGTTTTGCTCTAATTCTACTTATTTCTTTTCTATTGCCTACTTTCAGTTTAATTTGGACTTCTTTTTTAATTTTCCTAAGGTGGAAACTCACTTTCATATGTGCTTTCATTGCTACAAATGATGTCAAGTATATCTAGTTGATTAATGGTATTATTGATTTCAACTATGTCCATACTGATTTTCTGTCGCGGCCGGCGCGAGAAGGTCCGGATTCAGGAACCGAGGGCAAAGGGATGAGAAATAAACAAGAGACTAAAAGTTCATGGGATAGGAGGTTCCATGCAGCTGATGGCTACAATGGACAAGCTTTATTTTTACATGTAGAGTTTATATAGCCTCTGTAAGCAGGTGGCTTATTTCTTTAAGGAGAAGTACATCTCGTGCACAAACATACATTGTTTTTAAAACTAACACCTGTTATTTGTTTAAGCAATAGAGCATGAATGCCACATTTAGACTAAACAGTGAGGTTTGTTTATTAAGTAATGTCTGCCTAGGCGGTCATGTGTCAGGCCACCTCCTTGCTTACTTTATGGGAACTTGTCTCGATAACATTTTAAAGGAGAAGCAAATATGTACTTTTACTTCCATAAGGGGGAAGAGCTAGGTGCAGTCCCAGCAGGTTGGCCAGGTATGACAAGGAGCCTTTGCTCAACCCGGAACCCTGCCTCGCACCGCAGGACTGCGGGTTGGCCAGGGACAACAGGGAGCTTGCTCACTTGGAACCCTGCCTCGCACTGCAGGACTGCGGGTTGGCTAGGGACAACAGGAGCTTTGGCTCAACTTGGAACCTTGCCTCGCACCGCGGGACCGCTCCCAACAATTTTCTGCCTGCTAGTCTGCCTATTTCTGAGAAAGGGGTGTTGAAGTCTTCAACTGCAATAGTGGATTCATTTATGTTTACTGCAGCCCTATCAGTTTTGCCTCATATAGTTTGCTGCTTTGTTGTTAGGCACATGTACATTAAGAATTGTTATGTCTTTTTGTAATGATCTTTAGCCCTGATAATCTTCCTTGCTTTGAAGTCTTTATTGTCTAAAATTAATATATCTTGTCTTGCTTTCTTTTGATTAGTATTAGCATAGTATGTTTTTCTCCATTTGTTTTTAATTTATGTGTGTGTGTGTGTATTTTAAAGATTTTTATTTATTCATGAGAGGCACAGAGAGAGACAGAGGCAGAGGGAGAAGCAGGCTCAGTGCAAGGAGCCCTACGTGGGACTTGATCCCGGGTCTCCAGGATTGCGCCCTGGGCCGAAGGCAGGTGCTAAATCACCGAGCCACCCAGGTGTCCCTTGTATTTGTTTTTATATTTAAAGTGGGATTCTTATAGACAGCAAAACTACTGTACAAGTCTTGTATAGTGGGTCTTATTTGTTGATCCACTGACAATCTCCTTTTTTTTTTTTTTAAGATTTTATTTATTTATTCATAAGAGACAGAGAGAGAGGCAGAGACATAGGCAGAGGGAGAAGCAGGCCCCATGCAGGGAGCCTGATGTGGGACTGAATCCCAGGACTCCAGGATCACATCCTGGGCCAAAGGTGTTGCTAAACCGCTGAGTCACCCAGGTGTCCAATGTCCATCTTTTAATTGGTAAATTTAGATCATTAGACATTCAAGGATTATTGATATAGTTGGATTAATATCTACCACATTTGTTACTGTTTTCTATTTGATGCCCTTGTTTTTTGCTCCTATTTTTATCATGCATTCCTTTTCTGCCTTTTGTGTGGTTCTCATCTGTTCTTATCTTCTATTTTCTTTATTCATCAGAGCACTTAGCATATTAATCCTACTTGTTTTAAGTTCCCATTTGGTGATGGCACTTTCCCGCCATGTTTGGCTCTGATACTTGCCCTGTTTCTTCTGATTTTTCCTTTTTAACATGGGTTTTAATTTTCTCTTAATAATAGGATATCTTTGTTTGGGTTGCTATAACAGACTAGCATAGACTGAATGGCTTATAAATAAGAAAAAATTATTCTTTATAACTCTGGGAATCTAGGAAATCCAAGAAGAAGGTACCAGCAGATTCAGTTCTTTTGAGGATTCACTTCCTGGTCCATGGTTGTCTTTTTGCTGTGTCTTTACATGGTGGAAGAGGCAAGGGAGCTGTCTTGGATGCCTTTTTTTTTTTTTTTTTTTTTTTAAAGACACTAATCCTATTCATCAGAGCTCTGCGCCCATGAGTTAATCACTTCCCAAAGGTGCTACCTCCAAATATCATCACATTAGGAGAACAGGCTTAACATGAATTTTGGGGGTGGGGGGATATAAACATTCAATCTATATAACTTGATATCATGTATTAGGTAAAGGAACTGTTGTAAATATGCCTTTAGTAATATGGTAGTAAGGTATGGGGAAGGGGAAGAGTTCTTTTTTTTTTTTTTTCTCTCTCTTAAGATTTTATTTATTTATTTGACAGGGAGAGAGTGCACAAGCAGGGGGAGCAGCAGAAGGAGAGAGAGAAGCAGGCTCTTTACTGAGCAGGGAGCCCTATGTGGGGCTCAGTCCGAAGGCAGATGCTTTAATTGACTGAGCCGCCAAGTGTCCCAGGAAGGGGAAGAGTTCTATGTAGTTCTATTATTAGCTCTCAGTCTTTTAGTGGGCCTCTGCCTCTGAACTGGACTATGAACTTCATAAGTGTTTCTTATAAGTTACACTTCATAAGTGTAACTCTCTTTTAACTGGGTTAGAATGGCTAGTGTGGGCTGGAGTTAGGTATTTTCTTTATCTTTTATGAGAAGCCAGAGGTGACTGGAATTGGGCATTTTCCTTCCCTAGATCTACTAGGTGCTGATAGTGGTCTAGTAAGTAGGGCTCTGATTGGTTTGATTTTTACTAGAGCTTGTCTTATTAAGTACACAATGCTCTGGTATATCTCAAAATGCTTTCTTTCCCTCTTCACTTGCCAAATGCATGAAAGGGTTTTTCTCCAGTATTTACTGTGAGAACCTAGTTAAGCTCCTGGAAGTAA